AGTTCTGTAATACATTGAATTAATTTTTGTATAAGGTGTAAGGTATGAGTTCAGGCTCATTTATTTTACACATGAATTTCCAGTTACTTTTCTTACACGTGAATTTCCCATTGCTTAAAAGACTATTCTTTCTCCTTTAAGTTACCTTGGTACTTAAAGAAAAAATTAATAGCCATTTAAGTATCCGACTATTTCTGGACTCTATTCTATTCCATTGGTATATGTGTTTATTCTTTGCCAATACCATATTGACTTGACTGCTTCTGTAGCTTTTATAGTAAGTCTTGGAATCAGGTAGTGTAAGTCCTTCAAACTTTTTCTTCTTTTTCAAATATTTTGCCTACTCTAGGAATTTTGCTTTTTCATATAAAGTTTAGAATTAGCTTGTCAATTTCTTAAAAGAAATCATGCTGAGATTTTGATTGAAATGACATTGAATCAATAGATCAATTTGGAGAGAATTGATATCTTAACAATATTGTCTTCTCATTGATGAATACAGTGTGTTTCTCCTATTATTTAGATTTCCTTTGATTTTTTAAATAGTTTTCACCATAGAAAGCCTTTACATATTTGCTAGATTTATACCTGAGTTTTTTCTTTTTTTTGATGACATTGCAGATTACTTTTGAAAACTTTGATTTCCAGTTGTCCATTGCTAGTATATAAAAATACATTTCTTTTAAATATTGAGCTTGTATCTTGTGACCTTTCTAAACATATTTATCTATTATTGGAGATTTTTTGTAGTTTTTTTGGGATTTTATGCATAGACAATTTTGCCATATGCACACAGTTTTTTATGTTCCTTTCCAATCTGTATGCTTTTTATTTTTCTTGCTTTTTCTTGCTTTAATGCACTGGCTAGTATTTCCAGTCCAATGTCCATTAGGAGTACTGAGAGAGGACACCTTGCTTTGTTGTGATTTTAGGGGGAAAGCATTTAGTCTTTCACAATACTGTATGATGTTAGCTGTAGGCTTTTTTTGTAGATACCCTTATTGCATTAAGGAAGTTTCTGTCTATTCCTAGTTTGCAGAGTCAAGTACTTTCTTAGCATATTTTGACAAAATTATATGTTTCTTTCCCCATTGTCTGTTAATATGGGGAATTACATTGCTTGAATTTAGAATATGGAACCATCTTTGCATTCCCAGGATAAACATCATCTGTTTGTGATGCATTATTCTTTAACGTATTTCTGGATTTGGCTTGCTAATGCTGTGTTGAGGAGTTTTGCAGTTTCTCATGAGGAATATTAGTCTATAATTTTCTTTTCTTGTTATATTTTTGTATTGTTTTGGTATCAGAGTAATACTGGCCTTAGGAAATTAGTTAGGAAATGTTCCCTGCTCTTCTATTTAATGGAATAGATTATGTAGAATTGGTATTATTTCTTCCTTAAATGTTTGGTGGAATTCACTAATGAAGCCATCTAGAACCAGAGTTTTATTTTTGAAAGGTTTTTAAACTATGAATTAAATTTCTTTACTAGATATAGGACTTGTCAGGCTATCTATTTCTTCTTGAGTGAGGCGTGCTGGTTTCTGTCTTTCAAGGAAGTGGTTTGTAATGTTTTATATTTAATTTTGTTTAACTGTCGAGTCTGTAGTGATGTTCTTCTATCATTTTGCTGCAGGTAATTTTTAGCTTCTCTCTTTTTAGTGATCATTCTGTCTAGAAGTTTATCAATTTTATTGTTGTTGTTTTTTTTAAGAACTAGCGTTTGGTTTCATTGATTTCTTCTACTTATTTCCTTCCTTCTCCTTTCTTTGGGTTTAACTTTCTCTTCCTTTTTATTTTTTGGAAACTGATTTGAAGCTTTTTTCTTTTTAATATGAATATTATTTCTATGTCTAGGTCCAGGTTTTCACATGATACTTCCAAGGAGTATCATACTCTTGCCTGAAGAACTTACTTTAAGTTCCTTGTAGTTAAGGTCTTCTGACAGTGAATTCTTTCAACATTTCTTTCTTAAGAGTCTTTATTTTGCCTTCATTTTTTTTGAAGCATAATTTCACTGCGTATGGGATCTTGGGTTGACAGTTTTTTTCTGTCAGTAGATGTCACTCCAAAGTCTTCTAGCTTGCATTGTTTATGAAGAATAAATCTTTTGTAATTCTTACCACTGGGTCTCTGTACATAACGTGTCATTTTCTCTGGCTGCTTTCATAGTTCTTTCTTTGAATTTTAGCAGTTTGACTATTATGTGTCTAGGGGTGTGTGTGTGTATGTATTTGCTATTTGTTCTACAGATGATTCTCTGAGGTTCATGTGTCTGTGATTTGGTGCCTTTCATTAGTTTTGGAAAATTCATGGTCATTATCCCTTCAGATATTTCCTCTGTTCTGTTTTCTCTTTCTTCTTCTCCTGGGACTCTCATTTCACATGATAGATCAGTTTAGCTCTTGGATGTTCTGTGTTCTTTTTTCTTCTTCTCTTACTCTTTTTTTGTTTTTTGTTTTTTTTCTGTTTGTTTGGATAATTTTTATTGACTTATTTTCAAGTTTACTGACCTTTTCCTCATGCCTGCTTCATGAGCCCATCAAAGAAATTCTTCGTTTCTGATCACATATTTTTTATTTCTACCCTTTCCATTTGACTCTTACAGTTTCTATCTTTCTATTTCATTACCCGTCTGTTCATGCATGTTGTCCACTTTTTTTCTATATATCCTTTACCTTAATAGTTTTAATCATTTTGAAGTCTGTGTCTGATAATCCCATCATTCTTGTCATCTCTGAATCTAATTGATTATGTATTATTTTATCTCTTGACAGTGAATTGTTTATTTCTTGTTACTTTTCCCTGAGTCGTGGTTTTGAACTGTATTTATGCCTTAAAGTGGTTATGCCTTTTCTCTCATACTGTTAGTGTTAGGGATTAAATCACCAATCAAGTCAGGAGTTCAGATAGGTTTGGATTTTGTTGTTGCTATCATTATCTTTTGTGCACCACACTCTTCAATTTCCTCTATCAGTAGGCTACTGTTGCCCTGTGCTTAGGATGTGTGCAGGAGTACCAGAAGTTACTATTTTTTCTTCAGAGTTTTGCTACCCCTTCAGCCATTCCCATCCATTTGTACCTCAGAGAAGGAGTCTCTCCCCATGCTCCTGCCCCTTCCCCAGCAATAGGGTGCTTATTTCTTGTTGCTATGCCTGTGGTAGAGGCCAAGGGCGTTCTATTCTTCTGTCTTTGATAGGCCCTGTCCACCTGAGCCTTACTTATGACGCTTGCTTGGAGTTCTTAGCCCTTTCTTCCATGAAAACAAATCTGCCTTGTGTCTCTGATTGGTTTGGGGAAGGAGTTTCTACTCTTCCCCTGATGATAAAAGGCCTTTGATTTGTGGGTAGGATCTTGGTTGACAATGGTTTCCTGCCCCTCTTTCATAGGTAGAGGATTTTTTCCTTCAATCTTTCCCCTAGCTGCAATGGATCTTTGCCTTTGCCCTGGGGATGACAGAATTTAGTTCCTCTCCCTGCAGCTTGTAACTTTGGCTTTTTTCGGAGAGAGAGTCTGGGAAATTGTACCTTGCCCCAGCAGCCACTGTTCACCTCTTTTACATCTGCACATGTGCACTCTTTGTTCTTGTGCCCTGCTCACAATCTTCCTCATGAGCAACGAGTGGAGGCCTGTGGAAAAGTGCTTGTGAGCAAGTGTCAGCTTCTCTTGAGTTTGGGCCCCTAGCTATTCCAAACTCATGTTAGCCCACACCTGGTCTTCTACAGTTTATTAAAGTTTTTACAGATTTTCTCTTAGCTGCCTGTATGGTGGCCACCTCTTTCTCCTGTGCTCTGACTAAGGTGAACAATGTGTCCTATTTCTCTTTGGTGGGACTTGTTGCTCTTTGGAGTTCAGATTATTTGTTTGATTTATAACTTCAACTCTCTGATGGGCTCAAGAAAGTTATAATTTTGTAAATTATTTAGCCTTTTTTCGTTTTTAGGATGGGAGTGACATTATCTACAGCTTTGTAAATTCTTTTTTTGATGTATCCCACATTTTGGTGAGGAAGATTGGCCCTGAGCTAACATCTGTTGCCCATCTTCCTCTTTTTCTCCCCAAAGCCCCAGTACATAGTTGTATGCCCTAGTTATAAGACCTTCTAGTTCTTCTTGTGTGATGCCACCATAGCATGGCTTGATGAGTCCTGTGTCGGTTGGTCTGTGCCCAGGATCCGAACTGGCAAACCCTGGGCCACTGAAGCAGAATACACAAACTTAACCACTCTGCCACCAGGCTGGCCCCTACAACTTTGTAAATCTTAAGCAGAACTAATTATAGTTTTAAAACATTTTAAATTTTTCTTATACAGGCAATGGAAGTGAGAAGTGTTATCACTTTTTATTTTTACTAGAGTAGAGGCATCTTTTTTCTTATCCTTTTATTTTATTTTTAAAATATAACTTGGCCTTTTATTTGTACAGCCTTATTTGGTAGGCTTCTAATATTTCACAATGTTTTTACAGCCAATTAATGTGCAGATTGTTGAGCAGATTTAAACAATCAGTGAGAGCACTCATCCAGTGCTTTTCCCTCCGTTTGGAGTCTTAAGATCACTCCGAGTGAGATTCTGTCTCAATGATTTGAAGCTCATAGGTTTTGGTTTCACTGTGTAAGTTAAATAAGCTCGGCCTATTCCTGAAGCTAAACTGTTGAAAATAATATTGTAAATATTTTAGGGCATATGACTGAAAATATATTGGAAATTGTAGGTAGAAATTTTATAATTTAACTCAAAGAAATATTTCTATAAACATGCCTTGTATTAATTGGTTCTTAAATGAACAGGTGTATCAGAAAGCAGAATTAGTTGTAGCACTTTCATGATGTAATATGCCATACAAGATGTTATTCTATAATCAGAAGATTGTTAAATTTTTATTCTTTATTCTGATCCTATGGAATTTTTGGATATAAAATTGTGTCTACAAATCGTGGTAACTAGTATTTTTGAGACCATCAAGAAATCAGATTTTTCTTATCTGTTTTCTCTGTAGAAAACTTCATCAGCAGTTCGAATTGTATAAGGAGCAGGTCAAGAAGATGGGAGAAGAGTCACAGCAGCAGCAAGAGCAGAAGGGGGATGCCCCAACCTGTGGTATCTGCCACAAAACAAAGTTTGCTGATGGATGTGGCCATAATTGTTCCTATTGCCAAACGAAGTTCTGTGCTCGTTGTGGAGGTCGAGTGTCATTACGCTCAAACAAGGTACAGAATGAAAATCACAGATGTTGATTCTTTGATAGTTAAGACTACTGTGAATAAAATGAAGAAGACAACTGCAATTAATATTTAGGTTAACCAATGAACAAAAACCTTCACTAGTGTCTTCATTTTAGATTAAAACAAATTAAAAATATTTTCCTCTGAATTAAAAAGATAGTTGTCTCATTGTTTATGTCCTTTAGCTTATGACTTTGTTTAGAATCACAGGATTTTCGACTTTCAAAGATAATGAAGAGAATTGAGTGTTCAATTGGTCTAACTCCTTTATTTCACAGGTGTAGATGTACAGAGACTAAAGTTCATTCTTTTTTTTGTTTTTTTTTGGTGAGGATGATTGATCCTGAGCTAACATCTGTTGCCAGCCTTACTCTTTTTGCTTGAGGAAGATTGTCACTGAGCTAACATCTGTGCCAATCTTCCTCTATTTTGTATGAGGGATGCTGCCACAGCATGGCTTGATGAGTGGTGTGTAGATCCGTGCCTGGGATCTGAACCAACATACCCTGGGCCTCCCGAACCGAAACATGTGAACTTAACCACTACGCCACCGGGCCAGCCCTTAAAGTTCATTCTTAAAGTTGCACAACTGATTAATGTTAGAATTGACACAGATTTTTCCATGGCTACATATAATTTTGCAGACTTTGTAGATCTGTTGTTCCTTTGGCCCCTGTTTCTTTACCTTTTCAAAGAGGCTCTTTCTGTCCTTGAGATTCTGCATTCTGTAGTTTTATAGCTTTTTAAGCTACATTGCCCTTTATTTTTGTTTTTAATATTAAGGAAGTTAACATTAGACTATGGAATTTAAAGAAGAAATGTTAAGGAACTGTGTCACGCTTATACTAGATCTTTGTAGTTTCTCTATATGTTAAGGTACCAAAGAATGCTCTGCTGAAATTAGCAAAAGTAGTAGTTTAAAATATTTGTCTCAGTAAGTTCTTTAGAATTTGCATTTATCTTTTCACTAGTATTTTATCACTCAGCTCTTTACTTAGGTAGTTTTGAAATAGGAAGCTGATGTCTTTACATACATTGCTTAGACATCCCTATGGGAATTTGTTCTTCTGTGTGATTTCATTTCTCCATTTTTCATTGTTCCCCTTTTCTTATTGTTTTGCTTTGTCCGGAACTAACAACTTTTCTTTATTTTTCCTAGTCTTTCCCCCTGGTTTACCTGATTATGTTCCCTTTCTTTGACTGGTTGGATTGGCTAGAAACTCCAGTACAATTCTGAATAGAAGTGGTGAAAGCAGACATTCCTGTTTTGTTCTTGATCTTAGGGAGAAAGCCTTCAGTCTTTCACTTTTAAGTATTATGGTAGTTATCAGCTTTTCACGGATGCTGTCTATTACTAATTTCCTGGAAGTTTTTTTTTTTTTACATCAGGAATAGATGTTGGATTTTATTTTTCTCCATCTTTTGAGGTTAATATGGTGAGCTGCAATGATTGATTTTGAAATGTTAAACCAACTGTGTATTCCAAATAAACCCCATTTGGTTATTATGGATTATCCTTTTTATATATTAATGGGTTTGATTTGATAAAATTTTGTTTACAATTTTTGCTTCTATGTTCATGAGGGTTAGTGTATGTAGTTTTCTTCTCTTGTAATATCTTTCTTTGGTTTTAGTATCATTTTAGTGTTTAGTATCATTTAGTATCATTTTAATGTTGGCCTGATGGAATGAGTTGGGAAGTAGTTCCTCTTCTCCAGTGTTTTAAAAGAGTTTCTGTAGAGTTGGTATTGTTTATTCTTTAATGTTTTGTAGATTTTACCAGTGAAGCCACCTGGGTATGCAGTTTCATTTTTGGGGAAGTTTTTAAGTACAGTTTCAACTTCTTTAATAGATATAGCGTTATTTAGGTTGTCTATTTTTTCTTGAATGAGCTTTGGTAGTTTGTGCCTTTCAAGGAATTTTTCCAGTTCCTCATAAGTTGTCGAATTTATTGGCATTAACTTGTTCACAGTATTCCGTTATTATTCTTTTAATATCTGTAGAATCTGTAGTGATGCCACCCCTTTCATTCCTGATATTGGTAATTTGTGTGTTGTCTGTTTTTTCCTGCTCTGTCTGGCTAGATATTTATCAATTTTATTGATCTTCTCAAAGAACCAGTTTTTTTGTTTCGATGATTTTCTCTATTGTTGATTTCATCCTTAATCTTTATTATTTATTTTCTTCTGCTTACTTTGGGTTTAATTTTCTCTTCTTTTTCTAGTCTTTTAAGGTGGAAGCTGAGGTCATTGCTTTGAGATGTCTCTTCTTATGCTGTTGGTTTCCCCTAAGTACAGTTTCAGTGACATCCCCAAAATTCTGATATGTTGTCTTTTCATTTTCATTCTGTTAAAAATACTTCGATATTTTCCTTTTCATCTTTGACCCATGAATAATTTAGAAGCATGCTATTTTTTCCATGTATTAGGGGATTTCCGGAGATTTCTGTTAATGATCTTTTATTTAACTCTGTTGTGGTCCTAGTTATTTTTTGTGTGCTTTGAATCCTTTGAAATGTATTGATACTTATTATGTGGCCCATATTATGGTAGGTAAATATTCTGTGTGTACTTGAAAAGGATGTGTATTCTACTCTTTTTTGACAGTCTTTTAAAATGTCCATTAGGTCAAGTTGGTTAATAGAATTGTTCAAGACTACAATATCCTTGTTGATTTTCTGGCTATTTATTTTTATCAATTATTAAGAGAGGGGTATTGAAATACACAATTATACTTGAATTTGTCTATTTCTTCTTACAGTTCCATCAGTTTTTGTTTTATGTATTTTTAAGCTCTATTTTTAGGTGCATAAACATTTAGGATTATTATGTCCTATTAATTAATTGGCCCCTTTATAATTATTAAGTGACTTTGTTTAATCCTGGTAATATTCTTTGCTCTGAAATCCACTTCATCTAATCTTAATATAGCCACTCCAATATATTATTGGTAGTATTAACATAGTTTATGGTTTCTTTCTCTTACTTTAAGTTAATTGCCTTCATATTTAAAATACTTTTCTTATAGACAGCATGTAGTTGGGACTTGCTTTGTTATCCAGCCTGACAGTCTCTGCCTTTTAGTTGGAGTGTTTAGACAGTTTACATTTAGTGTTGTTATTGATATGGTTAGATTTGATTATATTATTTTGCTTTTTTCCACTTGTACCATCTGATCGTTGTTTTGTTATTAGTCTTCTTTTGGATTAATCAATGTTTTTTATGATATAGTTTTATCTCCTTTGTTGGCTCATTAGCTTTGTTGACTCTTTGTTGTTATTTTATTAATTACTTCGGGATTTGTAGTATGCATCTTTAAATTATCATAGTTAGCCTTAACTGATATTATACAGTTTTTTGTATAGTATAGTATAAGAACTTTATAATAATGTATTTTCATTTCTACCCCTTTGGACTTTATGTTATAGGTGTCATATATTTTACTTCTACCTATTTTATAAACTCCACAATACAGTGTTATTCTTTTTTGTTTAAAAGTTTATCTTTTAAGGAGATTTAAATAATAAAAGAAATATTGTATATTTCCTCTTGTCATTACTTTTCTGGTACTGTTCATTTCTTTTTGTAGACATATATTTTTATCTGATATCATATTTTATCTGCCTGAAGGATTTCCTTTAATATCTCTTCTAGTGTGAGTCTGCTGGTGATGAATGCTTTCCATGTTTTTTGTTGAAAATTTTGCCTTTGTTTTCTTAAAAGATATTTTGGCTGAGTGTAAATTTCTAGGTCGACAGTTATTTTCTTTCAGTATTTTAAAGACGTTGCTTCACTGTCTTCTCACTTTCACTATTTCCAAATAGAAGTGCAATACCATTCTCATCTTTGTTTCTCTGTATATAATGTGTCTTTTTCGTCAGATTTCTTTTAAGATATTCTTTTTATCACTGGTTCTGTGCAATTTAATTGTGATGCTTTTTGGTATATTTTTCTTCATATTTCTTGTGTTTGGAGTTTTTTTGAGTAAAAGATCTATATGTTTATAGTTTTCATAGGGTTTTTTAAAATTTTGGTCATTATTCAAATATTTTTACTGACCCCCTCCTCTCTCTTCTCCTTCAGGGACTCCCATTACCCATACTTATGTTCTTTTCTTCAAACCCAGCTTTACTTTTCTCCATTTTTCATTTTGTATACATTTTATTGCTATGCCTTAAAGTTTACTAATCTTTTCTTCTGCAATGTCAAATCTGCTGTTAATACCATTCAGTGTATTTTTTCATCTCAGACATTATAGTTTTCATTTCTAGAATTTCACTTTTGGACTTTTTTATGTCTTCCATGATCTACTTAACTTTTCAAACATGTAGAATACACACTCTGTAGTAACTGTTTTGATGTCCTCCTGTGCTAATTCCAACATTTCTGTTAGTTTTGGGTTGGTTTTGATTCATTATTCTCATTATGGTATGTTTTTTTCTGACTTTTTCACATGCCTGGTATCTTTTGTTGGATGCTAAGCATTGTAAATTTTACTTTGTTGGGTACTAGATATTTTTGCTTTCCTATGACTCTTCTGGAGCTTTGTTACGGGAATGGAGTTAAGTTACACGGAGACAATTTAATACTTTTACATCTTGCTTTTGTGCTTTGTTAGGTGGATCTGGAACAGTGCTCAGTTTAGCAGTAATTGTTCTCTTCTACTGAGGCAAGACTTTCCTCAGTACTTTAACTAATGCCCTGTGAATCATGAGTTTTTCCAGTCTTGCTGGTGGGAATGTCCACTGTTCTCTCTAATCTTTTCAGACAATTTTTTCCCCACTCCTGGGTATTTTCTCACATGTGTGCTCACTGATCATTGCTAAGCTGAATACTTGAAGGACTCTCTGCATATCTTTGGGGTTCTCCCTCTGTGCAGCTTTCTCTTCTCTGGCATCTTGTCCTGTGAAATCCAGCTGTATTGGCCTCCTCAGACTCTCAGTTTGTTCTTCAACTCGGGATGTCTGCCAAGCTGAACTTCAGCTC